GCTCAGCGGCAAAAGTGCCTGCCTGGCAAGTGCAAGGTCGTGAGTTCGGTTCCCGGTACCGGAGAAAAACCAAAAAAAAAAAAAAAAAAAAAAAAAGCCATAAGCAGCTATTTAAACCATTAGATGGTTTAAATTATTTGACAAAATAAATCAATGTTAACTTACCATTTATGTTCATCTTGGCTTAGAAGTGAAACAGTTAACAGTGATAAGCATGGTTGTGGTCGGTTCAACTTCAGAAATGATGATATTGACTCACAAGTAAGTACAGGTAAATAACGGTATACTTGGGTTTTTGGCTTGCTTTTCTTGATTGATCTTCCTTTTTCCTTCCTTCCCTTTCTCTATTTCTTTGAAGTTATCTTTTTGGTTTGTATTTACATCAGAGTAAAGTGGCTGCACTTCTGTTTATAACTTTTATAGTAGTGTATTAAATTTATGAATGCAGTTTGAAATTGTTTAAAATCTATAAGTATAACATGTCTTCTTGAATTTTTAAAGTCTTCACTGAAGATTTTTAAAAATTTTTCTTCTCACGTCTTTATCTTCTACATCCTTATTAGAACCTTCTTTTTAAAGTCTTTCTACAGATGTTAATAAATCATATCTTCTAATTTAAAATATGTATTTTCCAACTCTTCCAATGAATTCTGCCTTAACTTTTCTTAAAATCTTTTCCAAACTGTTTTAATATGTTGTGGTTCTACCTTTTAAAGTGCATATGACTAGTTTTTCACTCCTTTTTAAAGTGCATATGACTAGTTTTTGAAGCCTCTTTTTCATTCTCGATACAATTTCTGACTGTTAACATTCCTTCATCCGTAAGCTCTTCCCTGATTCTGTGGGGCAGAATTATTTGCCCTTCTTGCCGCCTTTCTTGGCAGCCTCTGGGGCATCCTTCTTGGCATCCTTCTTGGCATCTTTCTTGGACTCTTTCTTGGCGTCCTTCTTGGTATCTTCCTTTGATTCACTTTCTGAAGCACCCGGCTTCTTTTCATCTTTCTTGTCTTTCTTTCCCTCCTTTTTTGCGTCTTTCTTGGAGCCTTTTGCTTCATCACCTTTCTTGGCTCCCTTTTCAGGTTCTGAATCCGTAGTTTCTTCTTTACCCTCCTTGGAACCTTTTTTACCTTTCTTAGAACCTTTCTTCGGCCCGGCTTTTTCACCTTCGGATTCCGTAGCTGAATCTTTGCCCTCTTTTGCACCTTTTTTACTTTTTTTGGCATCTTTTTTCAAATCGGCTTTTTCACCTTCAGGTTCTTTGGCTGTATCTTTGCCCTCCTTGGAACCTTTTTTACCTTTCTTAGAACCTTTCTTCGGCCCGGCTTTTTCACCTTCGGATTCCGTACCTGAATCTTTGCCCTCTTTTGAACCTTTTTTACTTTTTTTGGCATCTTTCTTCAAATCGGCTTTTTCACCTTCGGACTCTGTGGCTGAATCTTTGCCCTCCTTGGAACCCTTTTTACCTTTCTTAGAACCTTTCTTCGGCCCGGCTTTTTCACCTTCGGATTCCGTACCTGAATCTTTGCCCTCTTTTGAACCTTTTTTACCTTTCTTCGACCCGCCTTTTTCACCTTCGGATTCCGTAGCTGAATCTTTGCCCTCCTTTGAACCTTTTTTACCTTTCTT